TCCCTCCCAGCACCCTGGACACAGATAAAGCAGTCACACTGCGGCAGACCAGGGGCTGTCCAAAACCCATCTTCTACAAGGGTCAACAGCAGGGAGCCCTCATCCAGAGATGGAGTTCATCCCTCAGGTATGACAGCCCAGGCAAGTTTTTCCAACGTGAGTTTGCCCAATTCCTTTTATAAAACTGTATAAACATCTACATATTCATTATATCCGGCAGCAAGTCCCATACGCAGCACGATGCTGCTCACTGTTTGGCACCTGGCCCCTCCTAGTCGGATTGGGCACGTGGAATGCACAAGTGAAACTGGGATCTCATGGCTCAGGATATCCAGGGATCCAGGAGCCCAGCGAAGCAGTGGACGCCATCAACTCCAGCATAGCTCAGTTTCATATTCCCAATGGGGGAGTAACACCACCACTTTAAGAGTGCTTTGAGATACTTGGACAGGCAGTTCTGCAGGAGAGCTCAGGATTTTCCCTCTACATCTGTAAAGCCTTCAAGGACTTCCAACACATCAGAGAGCTTTCTGCTCCTTGGTTTGTATCTCTGGACTAAACGCTTGATGAAAGCCCACCTAAATGCAATCTAAAAAAGCAAACAATACCTGTGGAATTGGGTCTGTCCCTCGGAGCAAGTGAAGACAACCACCGTAAGCCAGGTGATTTGCATGGCCGTGAATTTACACGGAGAGCTCTCCCAGGGCGAGCACTGCGCAGGACTCGCTGCCCCACCAAACATGGGCATTCCAGCACCGAGTTCCAAAGCAACAGAAGCTTTAATCGGGCAAACACTGAAGAATCCTTTCAAAAGCAGCCCGAGTTCATCAGGAAACAGGCACTTAAGAAGCAAATAAACATTACCGAGCTCAGCCTGGAAAGATGAGCTTCAGTCAAGCTCAGCAAAACGTCACCCTTCAAATTGTTTTCACCCCTCGAAATCTCAGCCTTCAAATAGGAAGGTAACAGAAGAGTTCACTAGACAAACATTTACCCCTTAGGCAAGGTCCACGGCAAACCCCAGCAGTGAGCACTGGGCAGGACGGGACCACAGTGCAGAGGCCTGAGGCCATCACCCATCCTGCTGGGAGTCTTTCTGGATCCCCAAAACTGGCACTCCCTGGAGAAGACAGCCTTGTGGGAAAGTAGAAGGAGTTGTGACACGAATGCCTTGCCAGATTTCGGGAAAAGAACGGGGCTGTCCTCGGTGACAGACGGAGCGTGGAGCCCTGCTACAGCCTTGCCTGGGCTTGGCTGCTTTGTTCACGCACCTGGGGAAGCGGCTGAGGGTGGCCACAGCAGCACAACCCCCAGTTTTGCCAGCACCACCCAACACTACTGACACAGCACAGTAACTCTGCGACGCCAGGGAGGTATTCCCACCAAAAGAGTAGCCCGAGTGAGTAAAGCTTTGCATTTAAACCACACAACAAAGCACATCTGCACAGAAATGCGAAGCTTCCAGCTCTGAGTCCTTTGGCAGTGTATGAATAAAGCAGAGGGCTGAACACAGGCCCCCCCATTGCTGAATTAGCACCCAAATCAGACATCATCATTCCCCTCAACTTCGTTTTGCCTCCTACGAGCCAAACGACGGTACACAGGAGAGGTGTCAAACTAAAACCTACTCCTGTAGGTGAGCTGCATTCTGCTGCAGTCCTGGATAGACACGAGGCTGACTCTCATGGAAGGGGCACAGGAGAACCGTTTTGATACCCTGAGCAGAGCAGCAGTTTAAAGAAAGCCAAGGGCCAAAGCAGTTTGGAGTGCCAAAGAGAAAACAAGCCTCATCATACAGCCATTACACTTTACAACAGATAAACCCTGGCACCAGGGATATGATCCCCTATTAATGCAACCACATGTCCTGCATCATGAGGCAAGTTCATAAACCAGAGGCTCAAAGGAGCTGCAATCTCCTCTGTCGGCGAGAAATGACTTGAACTTCCATTTAGACGTTGAACTGCCTTTAGCAAAGTGCTCCCACTGCCCACAGTTACAGCCATTTGGGTGACAGTCACCCGCTGCTCCTAATCCATTTAACACCAGGGAGGAATGAAAAGCCAAGAAGTCACAACTGGAAAATGCAGAAATCAGTTAAACATTAAACATTTCTAGATCTAGGATTCAACAGCTTTGGTTTTACAAGGTAACGTTTGTGTATTTTACAAGATTAAAAGCCAGTAAATTTCATTCTTTAATTGGTAATTAGTAATTTGTAATACTCTGAACCTAAAGTTTGGCATTAGCAACTGATACAAGCACAGACTAATCAAAATGGGCATGAAGTGCAACAATAACCTGTAGCTGGAGATCTCCTGAAAGATTTCTGCTGCTCCAATCGCGCAAGAGAGATTATACCATCTTCTTACAGGAGAAAATAAGTTGTTCTGCAACATGAGATCAGGGCTAAATGATCCTCTGCGAAGAGCTTCAGCGAACACTGTCAAAATTTGTGCCCTGAACCTATCTGTGCTTAAACACTGATCTAAATTCTTCAAGCTTTCAATACAGCAACACTCAGAAGTAGCCTCAAACCATTTAGAAAGGAAAGCAACAGAGACAGCTCTCTTGTTTCAGTTCTTTCGGCTCAGAAACGCAGGCACACAACTACCGTGTGTTGTCCTTCGCAACCAACAATTTGCCAGCTGCTTCCCCAGGCAAGGAAGCCGGCGTTTGGCATTCAGAGCATCTGCAGACGTTAGGGTCATGCAAAGACAACCTCCTGCTACTCTAGCGAGCGAGCAGCCCTCTGGCCCTCACCCACTGCCGTTACAGCGAAGTACCAGCAGCTGTAAGCAACGATAACTCTGTATATCCCACCCACAGCGTAACATGTTTCAAGAGGCAGCAAATAACACAAAAGCTTCAGCTTTGAACATCACAAAAATCAAGGGGGCAAAAAGCATCGAAGGAGTTTTCTGTTATCAAAGAAGAGCTAAAGGAAGCAGCACGTTGCCATGCTGCCATGTCCGGCACCAGCAGCAGACAGCCCTCCAGACCTCGCTGCACCTCCTGCTGTTGGCTCTGTAACCTGTCCATACGGCAGCTGCTGTTAACAAAAACACATTAGCCTTGGTGGTCTGCAGGATTGCCATCCCAATGTCGCCCAGGCTCCAGCTTCTGACTACATCATCAACGTTAGCAGAAACATGTCAATTCCTTCGCAGTTCCCCAAGGAAAGCGGTCAGTACGGAGCAGTACAAAGGACACCAGAAAAGCAACTGGTGCAGAAAAATCTGCCTTTATCTAACTTGGAAACTTGCAATAGCTATTAAAAAACCTACAGATAAGCTGATGTCAAAAGCACAAACTCAGCATTTGAGGAACCCTGAACTAGTTCTGTTCTCGTAAGACAAGCCACTTTTTGAAGGACAGAGAAAGTTTCCCCAAGCCCTCCAACTAACGCTACCAACAACAGCAGCAGTGGCAAAACTAACGTGCAACCACCACACAAAACCTACAATGCCAGAATCAAACCAACATCTGAGTAATCCTATGCTTAAACCTTAATGATCCGAGGCTTTTTTTCATGGAGACAGGTAAACAAAAAGCTTCAAGGCAGACATTTTAACTATCTCCCTACTTTAAGGAGTCCTGCTTCATACACAATTGCATTAAAAAGACCCCTGCCTTTCCACAAGTGGAAGACTCAGGTCCCAAAGCAAGCCCACAGGGCAAGCTTCCCTCTAAATCAACGCCCTCCTACGCTCATGTCAGGACATGACACACGTCTACACCACAGATGGACGCGTCCAGACTCCAAACAAGGTTGCATGCTGACTTCACGCAACCCTAAAGTGCCAGGGCATCAAAACCCAGCGAGGCTTTTGTGTGACAGCCCCACGACCCTGTAGCTTCAGCCATTCTCACCTGGTAGGACATGGCATTTGAGCCAAGAAAAAAAAAACACAACAGGAAAATCAGGACAAACAAGCTGGGGGCTGAGGAGGGGAGTGTGCATCAGAGGAGAAAATTTATGTCTGTCATTCTGCCACAGATTTTTATCTGTACACGGGAAACTTTCCCCTGTAGAAAGGGCCTCTCTGTCAGAAAAGCTGCAACAGTACGGTTCTTTGCCATTTCATCAGGGAATGAAGGGTATTCCTACAGCCCAGACTCTGCAGGGAAACAGGACAGTCGCTGCTATGACTCACAGCTCTCCTCAGATTTTTCAGATAGCTCAGGCTGCAGCCCTGACATGAGAAGCAGGAGCAGCGGAAACTCCTGCTCTTTGCTTCCTCCTCCAGATTCAGGCAGCGTGGGTGTTCCTGCTGGGAACTGCTGCCCTCTGCTGTCAGGCAAGATAGAAGCGAAATTCTCGTCTGACAAAACCAGGTTTACAGCTACATGTAAAAAAAATATACAGCATGGTAATACACCCACAAAGTCACGGTGCATTCAGATTTCTGTGTTCACCCAGGACCCTCTGTTCTGGTCTCGCACGTCCTTCTTACCGCATGTCCCAAGAGGCGCCTCACAAGACAAACTCAGCCTAAAGGATGGTTTTACCCAGCCCATCACATTTGTTGCAGCTGTTTCCGAGGTAAAAGCACTCAGCTCTTAGTCCGTACAGCCAAACGTAGCCAGGGAAAGTGCCAGAGAATATCCTGCCCCGGCACAGGGCCTGGCCCAGACTGAGGAAATGAAACGCATTGCTACCATCCCTGTGGGGCTGTATGCAGTTCTCCCCTTGTCTCAACCCTCACAGTGGCAGTGCCACGGGGAAGCTTTGCCAACCATTTTAAGTCCTCTCCAGATGGGGAAGCTCAGGTGAATTTATAGGCATATTTTGAAGTTGAGCAAAGACCGAGGCCTGCATATAAGGATACTCTGCAGCCCTCAGGCACAAAAATCTTGGTGTCATTTTCCCTGAGGTCTGCCTGTGCTCATGATCAAAAAAAAACAGGAAGGAGAAAGATACACAGTGCTTCACAGCACATCTCCAGCCTGCCAGCAGCACCCAGTTCGCAGCAGACACGGCACATCTGCCAGCTTACCTGACCTCCTCACCAGCGAAATCAAACACTTTGGTGATCGTCACTTTTCCTGAATCTTTTGGCTTCTCGATCTCTTTTGGTTTCTCCTGAAGCTTCTTCCCACTCTTCTCTTCTTCAGCCTGTGAAACATATGAAGGAGAAGGCAAAGCAATGCATTTGTGGAGCCAAGCCAAATTATCACCCCAAGGGGCCTCGGGTGGCACTGCAGTTCAGGTTGGTCACCCACAGACAAGAAAAAGGAAATCAATGCCCCTGCCACCAGAAGGCAATTCCCCACTTTGGTTCCAGGCTCTCATTGGGTCTGGTTTGATCCCTGAGCTCCCAGATGAGAAGTGAAACTGTAATTACATCTAGGAAGGGGCAACAACACACAGCTGTGGTTCAGGAAGCAAGCAAAAGCCTGAAGACTCAGTTCACCCCAACCAAGCACCGCCACAGGCAGGCACAGAAATACAGTTATTTTTACTCAGGAATAGAGAAGAGCA